GTAATTTTTTTCTTTATTTAAGATAAAATGAAGCAAACCCTTTGAAGGATAATAATGGCTGTATTTTTAGTTGATTAAAGAAAAAGCGAGTATGTATCTGACTCTGCGAATCTCCCCATTATCTCTCTCATTCCAAAAGGAAGCCTACCAGTTGGGGTATACTCTGCAAATGGTGCCTCAATAGTTAAGAGTCATGCTGCCATTATAGACTGTTGTGATTTAAAATATTTTTCTATGCCAGTGGCTTCAGTAGTAAGAGATCTAATTAATAAATGAGGCTTTGGGGTGGGGTAGGGGGTCCCGAGTATCTGTAGTTTCTAGTATTATTCCTCTGTTGTGAAGATTCCTAGAATTGAGGCTGCCCATCCCCTGATCTTGCTCAGACGTGAATATATATATACCGTGCGGTAGAGATCACTGTCTTTATTTGTTCGGCAGACGTCTGTGATCCTTTTTGTGTGCTTTTGCTGTGACCGCGAAAGCGGTGCTGTGTCTTAAGAAACATGAGGCACTTGAGCTGGTTTCTCAGCAACGTGGCTCCTGAGCCAGGCACTGCAACATATCTGTTTGTCTTCGGTTTGCAATGATTTCTCAGTCAATAAGTAGAGCAGCCTATCAGATTAATCTTCTGGTTGAATCGCTAGGAGTTTCTCTTCTCTGTGACAACTGCTACAGGAGTTCTTCTGAGTAACCCAGCAAGAAAGACAGGGTCTAAGTTTCAGAGCTAGATTCTCTTCTCCTTTGAGGGAGTTATGATTCCTTATAAGCATCTAGGAGATACAGAGGAGTTGTAACCAAGTACCCAGGATGTGGTAAAGCCAGGGCTAAAGGTAAAGAAGGCTTGTAGGGAATTGGAGAGGGCCACACACTGTAAAGAGTTCTTTGGCTACTACTAATATCTTCACAGTCGCCTTGCAGTGGGCCTTTCTTCCTTATCTGATCAGTTAGTTTCTCCATAAGATGATTTAAATGAGTCTTTTAAAGTCTGTGGTTTGAACATAGCTTATATTTTTTGTAGTCTTTCTCCCCCCCACCCCCTTTTCAGGTCCTTTAATAAAGTCTTTGTTAAATCATAGTAACCGGAGCTAGAATTTTGATTTTCTATATATCTCTTATGACTCTTCTTACATTACATGTATGTTACAGTCACTTACTTAGATTTCTTTTAAATTTTGTTTTAGCCTGTCTAAGAGGAGAGTTGCCATCTCTTCATTATAGCTTTCATGGGGTTCAGTAGGCATTCAACAAAATGCCCAAGATAGAAGCGAACGAACGAGCTCTACCCTTACCAGTCTTAGATCGGCCAGCTCTCCTCAGGAATCGAGAGAACAAGAGAGCATAAAGTACTGATGGCTGAGGGTAGTGGTTAGAGCTAAAACTGACTTCTTTCAGGACCAAAATGTTACTCAGAATCACAACTCAATAAAGGAAGACAGACAACCCAACAGAAAAATAGATACAAGATTTGAACAGACACTTTTCAAGAGAAAATACAAAAATGCTAGTAAGTATATTAAAAGATGATTAGCATCACTAATTTCAGGGACCCACAAACTGAGACCACAATATGATAGTGTTTACACATCCTGTGATGATGAATACAGCTTTACTGATGAATAGTAAAATAGGAAATTCCAGTACTTGGGAGCTGGCAGCAGGAGTTGTTTCAAAACTGTGTCTCCAAAACTAAGGGTTTGGGATATAGCTCAGTGCTTACAATGTTTGCCTAGTGTGTGCAAGCCCTGGCTTCATTTTTCCAGCAATACACACATTCCCACACAAATACATATGGATAAGAAAGGAAAACAAGTTGGCTGGCATGAAGCTTTCATATATTATTGATGGGAATAGAAAAATGAGACAACCAGCCAGTGGTGGGGAGATGGCTCAGTGGTTAAGAGCATTGGCTACTTTTTCAGAGGACACAGGTTCAATACCCAGCACTCACATGGCAGCTTACAACTGTCTGTTACTCTAGTTCCAGGGGACCTAGCACCTTTACGCAGAGACATACATGCAGGTAAAATACCAACGTACATAAAAAGTAATTTTTTTAAAAAACAACAAAGATTAATCAGGATGCAAGAAAGAACTTTACCACGAAATTTCTGCTAAGACTATAACCTTGTGGTGATCACAAGAGCCAAAGAAAACAAAGGCTTACTTTATTTAAACTAAGAAAGTTGGCAGTACCATGCCTGGGGTTTTTCAAATGCTGAACTTGAAAATAATTGATAGCAACAAATGCTTATATTTGTTGATAAATGTAATACAAACTCAAGGACATAAACACAGAGATTGTCTCTTCTTAAGAGGTACTTATAATAGAAGTTAGGACTAACTATTATGGTAATTATCATCAGTTCATTAAGTGCTGTTAAGGTGAGTTACATAATTTAGAATCTGGAGAGCCCTGATTGTTATAGAAAGCATTACATTTCCACGAGTTGTTTTCTTTGCTATTAAAAACACAAAGATCTCCTCTTTCAAAATAAAGGGGGAGGAAAGAAGGCAGTCAAAGAATAGAAAATATAAAAATGGAAAGGGAGATTGAGTATCTCCGTGATAAAATTAATCAATAAAAAATTATCAAATTCCCAGACTAAATTAAAAGGCCTTTTTAGGGGGAAAGAAAGCGCATAAGGATGGGAGAATAGATTGTATCTTAGATTTGTGCCTGGTGGAAATCTAATTCTTCTTTGAGAAATGACCTTGAGAAAAGATGGTGCATGGATAGGCAAGTTTAAGGATTTTTGTTGACTGTTGGGGGAAAACTATTCCTTTACCAAGATACTGAATGAGGCAGAAACACACATAATATAAAATTCCCTTTTCTTTAGATGGCATTTTGGATTTTCCAGGTTTAGCTTGTAGATCAAATGGCAACAAGCCATGGCTATTTGACATTCAATTACAGTGCATCAGTTGTTCACTGGATATTTGCTAATTTCTGTTGTGGTGAGGGCATTATGTAACTATAAAGCATAGTCCCTTTTCCTTTGAGACCTTCGAATCTAATTAGGGAAAGACTGTGGGAAAGAAAATGAAGACTTGATACAACAGGTTCAAGAGAAAAATTAGAGAGACATTACAGGTTACGCTTACACCGTTTACAAACTTCTCTGCTTCTCATTTGAGAAACGAGACCGTTCACCTCTTTGCGCTTACTGCCAATCGCTGGCGATTCCTTTAACAGTTTTCCTATATTTTATTTGATTTAATTAAAATTTTTGTTAATTTGATGATTAGTACTTGTTAGCTTTTGAACCCAGGACTAGTCTCACTGAGTACCTGTGGCTCCTCCCAGCTCTCCTGATTAGCATTCCTCTGGGCTCCACCCAACAGTTACCTAGCAACTTGGGATTCTCTCCCTCCCTCCCTCCTCCTCCTCCCCCTCCACCTTCTTCTTCTTTCTTCTCTGTCCACTTTCTTTCTCTGCCTCTACTCCCTTACCCAGACTCCTTTCCAGGTCCTCCCCAAAATTATACTAGACCCGTCTTATGGCTGATACCTGAGTCAGGGGTGTGTATGCCTTGGCACGAGCCCGCTAAGGCACCCCCCCTGCCGCATCATACAGTGATTTATAAAACATATCACTCCTCACCCTGCCCCCTACCCTAAACCTCTCCCTCCAAGGACCTAGGCTTCTGCATCCCTTTCTCCAGCCTGATCCCTATATAATTCAGCCATGTTAGCTACTGCGCCCAGGTCCTAGCAACAAATGATCTTAACTGCTAAGACGTCTCTCTACCCCTAATTTATATTTTTGTTTTGTGTAAGTATACACACGGGTATATATTTGTATAAGTGTGGCTTGTGTGGGTACTTGTGTGCTTCTGTGTGTGGTATATATGGGTTCATGTAGTTCTGTACTCAGAGACCAGAAGAAAGCATCAGGTGTCTTCCTTTCTCACTGCCTTGTTGCTTTGAGGCAGGGTCTCTCCCAGAATCTGGAGCTCACATCTTTTTTCCCCCATTTAGACTGAAAACCAGTAAGCCCCTGTGATCCTTGTTTAGTTTTGTACCTAAGACAAGGGACTGAGGTGCATATTTTACATATCAAAGCAGACATGGCCTCCAGGTTTTCCCTGCATCCCTCAGTCCCTACCTGGCGTATCCTTCCCCCGGCTCTGCCCTTCCTCAGAGGCTCTTCCTTATAAAATCCAGACAGTTTAGTCTTCTCTCTTCTCTTTCTCTTCTCTCTCTACAAGTGCACCCTTTCTCTCTTCTTTTTCCCCCTTCCACCTCCACCTTTCTCCATGGCGACTTCCCTGGTCTTGGTCCTTGGGGGCAGTTAACTCACCCGAGAACAGCTTCCCAATAAACCTGCCTTTAATATATTCTAATCTGGTTTGAATTGGCTCATCTCACAGGCGGAGAAATAACTTATCAAACTTTTGTCCTCGCCTCTCTCAATGCTGGGTGACAGGTCTGCATGGAACTACTCCTGGATTGTTACTGTTAGGTCTCAACTCCAAATGTAGATGTCTAGAAATGACATTCTTGGCTCAGCTCACACTGGACTGTAGGATTGCTGGTGAGTACTTTCAGCAGTCCTCAGGAATCTGTGAAATGGGTTTCTGTCTGCCAGGGAGAGCCACCGCTTCTTTATATCCCGTTGCTCTAGCATCTGGCTAGAAGAGGCATCTGGTTCCCTATTGACACATACGAAAGTCAATGCTATTACCCAGACTCCTCCCATTCCTATTCACTTGAACTTGTTACACACACACACACACACACACACACACACACACACACCATGCTTCCTGCCATAATAACAGACTAAACCGTTGAACTGTAAGCCAGTCCCCATGTAAATGTTTTCTTTTATAAGAGTTGCTTGGTCATGGTGTCTCTTCAGAACAGAAGTGCTAACTAAGACAGTTGGCATCACTTCTCATCACACCTCCTCTTTCATTCCAGAAAAGTAAAAGAGAAAAATAATAAAAAAGCCACTAGCCATTCATTTGTCTTACAGCAAAATTTGTCTTACTCACAGCAAGGTTGGTCCACTGTATACTCCTCCAAAGGCATCTTTGTCTATAGCTGTCAGGTGTTTATTCTTGTTTAGGTAACTAGACAGAATGGGGGGGGGG